CAGCAGATGAGGTCTCACCAAGTTGCCCAGGCTGGTCTCAGACCCCTGGGCTCAGGCAATCCTCTCACCTCTGCTTCTCAAAGTGCTAGGATTACAGGCATGAGCTACCATGCCCAGCCACAAATTTGTATTTCTTGAAGATGCTTATATTCTTACCCTGGACCCTTTCTCCATGGAATTCCATTTTCCTCTGAACAAGGCAATTTCTAACTGTTCATTATGAAATCTGGGCCTGCTGAGCTTTGACATTGGAATTTAGATCATGAATCTTGAATTCTCTCTCAACATTATACATGGTTCTCTAAATGGTGACCATATCAGCTTCCAGACTTGGCTGTTCCATATTGAAGAGTCGTAATCTCCTTACCCTGAACTCACAGAGCGTCAGGCTCAGAGTTTATCACACTGGGCCAGACCCTAGGTGTGTACCATGTGGAGACAGGGCAGTTCTCCCTTTTGGATTAATCTGAAAGATTAGGTTATCATTCTTAGAATTGGCATGATGCTTCACAGTTAACTGACCTCATCTGACCCCTGGAATCTAGAGAGGAAGTCAGGTGTTACACTGCTCACTCATGGTCATGTCACCTGCTGAATGGCACACTCAACCCACATCCTCCCAGCCTCTCCTCTCCCAACTACAGCTGCTGCTTCACTTGTTTACAGCAGTTTGCCTCCTGCTGTAAAGCATTATAAACAAGGAAGGAGAATCCAAACAGTTTCCCAGGCCGGAGTTGGAAGACCAACCCCATCTCTTGGGAGCTACAGAAATGAGTTTCTGAGTCCGTTTGTCAGTAAAATGAGGACCAATGTGAAGCTTAAATGAAGTAATAGATGCAAAGTGAATACCGGTTCTAAGATACATAAGTGGCACCTGAGGATATTATCAATATCTACTACCATCTGTGGTGTTGGTGTTCTCCCAGCTTCACAAAGATGGCTACAGAACACCCTCTGCAGTAGTCTCAGGAGCATGCGTGGCCAGCCGAGAATGGCAGCAGTCAACACCTACGACCATGCCCTAGGTCGTACCATGATATTTGCTTTACGCAGCCTACTCCCGTGAAAATAATCGGTGGGCTTCGTGCTTATCTTGTCTCTAATGTGAAGACAGAGGAACACAGATTTAGGGACCTGACAGGTTAGGCTGCTAGTAAAGGTGGAGCTGGATTTGAAGCCAGCTCTAGCTCCCCAAGAGAAAGCGTGTTGGGTTTACAAGAAGCTTCCATGACTAGAGCAAAGCAGAGACTTTCTTCGTCATTTTTTCCTGGCTAAGGACACCATGGCTGAGCTGACAGGTGGTGAAACCAGGAAGGTTGAAACCCAGAGCATTTATTTGCCTTGAGCAAGGGTACGGCTTTTTGGAGGTGAGATCTTGAGGCCAGGCCTCCAGGCTCCAGTTCAGGTTCTTTGCCTAACAGCCCATGTCTCTCCATGGAGAGGAGTTACCAGGTGAAGGGTTGTGGGAGACCAGCCAGAGATACTTAACACTTTTGAATGACAACATTCTATCTGCATCCGGACGAGTCTTCAGTTATTTCCATTCTACTGTGTTTGCTATTGGCAAGAACATTCTTTTTCTCCTTGCCAACTAATACTGTAACTTGTTTGCGCAAAGTCTTCAAGAGCTGGGGAGATGACTGACAACGTTTTCAGTTTCCAAGTCTGAGAAAATGAAGATGTTTTGAAATTTAGACCTCATGAGTTAGAAAGCAGAAAATCATGACACTTGCTAAAGCAGCGCTTGTCGGTAGACTCAGTGCTGAGGCAACAGCTGATGCGCAACAGTAAGTCATTTGTCCATGTGTGGACATGCCACCGCAAAAGATTCAGCTAATACTGGAGGGGGAAAAAATCCCCAAACCAGTTACACTACTTGGAGAGTCTTATACTTATGTGCAGATATGTTACTAACGAGGAAAACCACTTCTGGAAAGGGTGTTCCCTGCACTCATAGCTTCAGCAGAGCAAAGTGAGGTGTTTCTGAGAGGGGAACACACAAAAAACCCTGTTTCCCCTGGGTTCTGGGATATCATCTGAAGAAACCATTTGTAGAGGAAGACACAATCTGACATTCACACGGTAAAAACATACAAACGACAGGACCACCAAGTTTAGAAAACGTCCTACAATGTGCATTTTATTCCATATCATTATACAATGTTTACACATCGGCGTAACTCTTAAGAAAATGTTCTCTCCTTCCCAGTCATACATAGTGCCTAAACCTTTCACCTTAACATGGAGAACTGAAAGAGTGGGGGCCCACATGGAATGCCATCCTACAGAGCTGTCACGAGCTGTGAGTGTGCCAGTCGGGAAGGAATGAAGTCTTACAAGAGCAGCGTGGCTTACAGACCCTTGGCTTGAGTGAATTCTGAAATGTGGAATCCACAGTCTCATCTCGTAGGAAAACTCAAGACAAAATAAATTAGTGTTGGACAGAGTTCTAAATTGTATATATGGAACAAAGACCACAGGGGATCTTTTGTTTGAAGTAGCACCAATCCACACCTGACTGTGTTTCCAATGTTCATCTTCCTGTTGCCTCTACTGTTGGCACTCTGAGTGGAAATCTTTCTGCTTTAGTGAGGATTCCTACACGGACTAAGCAGACAGTGTTGCTAAACTCTCTACAATGTGTGGCAATGTCAACCTGGGAAATGGCACATTTAAACCATTATCGCCCGGACACAGGCTTGCCTTTTTGTGTGTGTTTTCCCCACCCTTGCCCCAGCTGGTATTTCGTGAATGTTTCTGTGACAGTGGTAAAAGTAAATAAAAATGCATTTAAGGGGTAAGCAGGTGTTTAAAAACAAAACAACAAGAACAAAATGAGCAAATGTGGCCGCTGCTAAGGAGGTGTTCACATGTTGTTTAACTCCAGTAAAGTCTGATCCAGCATCTGGTGCATGCTAAGGTTTTCTTCTTTGGCATGAGCCACTTTCTCTGTGGTGGGATTAGAAAATTAAGTCATGAATAGCTGCACTTTGAACACAATGGTGGTTTGTACATTTAGGCAGGCAAACATCAACCACAAACACAGGACGAGATGATTAAACGAGGCATGCTTGTAAGACGGTACTCATTTCCAGACAGGGACCTCGGAGGGGGAGACATCCCTGACCCCGGGGAGTCACAGACTCTTAGAGCGGCAGGTGCACCTCCACCAACACCCACACTGGGAAGACGCAGGTGGGGTTTGGTGAGGGCTCACAGACTGTGTGCCGGGGAGCAGGGAAAGGCAAAAACCAAATACAGCTCGCAGCACTGTTATACAAATGGAAGAAGTTAATACAGTGGACACTTCCGAGTTACAGGCAGTGCAAGGTCTGGGAGTTGTGCTGGAACACAATCTCACAGAAAACAAAGATGACATAAATAGGTATTCTGACTTCTTAAATGATTTATTTCTATTGCTCATAAAAAAATTTCAACATGTTTCATGCACACTTTATTAGGACATTCTTTTAATATTTTATAGGGTTCTATTTACTATTAGCATGACAGTCTCACCATAGTCCAACACCATTAGAACAAAGCATACCTTTCAGACAACCAGGGACTTCTGACATGAGCTTCTGTTTTCAAAAGCTATTTTCCCAAGCATAGGTACATTTAATCATATTTCAAACATTGTACTATATCTTAAGAAGCAAGGAATATAATATGGAGTAGGAATATATATATCTGTGGTTGTGTATATATATTCTTAAAGCTGGATTCACAGTTGTCTATGGGAAACAGAAAACATTCTTTTGGTCCTCATTATTTATCATTCAAACAAGAGGACCTGCTATTTTCAAGAGTGCCGAGTTGACGGGTGTATATGTTTTACCATAAAATCTGTTTTGTAATGAGAGAGAACTGAATTAACATTTCAGCTACCTAGAGGAAATGCAGGCAGGGCCTGCCTCGCAGCCGACACCCTTCTGCTGCATTTCTTCAGAAAGCAACTGTTTCACACCCTAATGGTGGAAGGCAGGAGGCTTAGATCTCCCACACAGGGGCTCTAGTCCTAGAATTCAACCCGAGTGTTTTCACACACAGTTTAATCCTCATTCAGGGCCAGCTTGAGTTCATTAGTTAGGCGGCGGTTTTGCTCAAGTTGCTGGTAGAGTTGATCTGGACAGGTCAGCAAGCAGGTTAGCAGAAGAGAAGAGGCAGAAGGAAGAGAGGTTAGGCAGACTCGGTGAGAGGCAGGTTAACAGACAGACAGCACAGAGATACCTCAGGTAGGACAGCAACCGGTCACCTGCTATGCAGTGTCCCTTGACCCCCATGGTCATCTGTCCTGTGCCCAAGAAGGGTGGATGTAAAAGGCTTGGCAGGGCCAGGATTCCTTTTTTGGTGGCGAGGGGCGCAACAGGCAAAGACGCAGAAGAGTGGCCATTCCTCTCGTTCCTCACTAAACCCTCCAGAACTGAGCCATACATGGATATGGCAACAGATTTGGGAACTGAGGCCTAACTGGCTCATCATTCTCCCTTTGCTGGGCCTGACAGAGAACACAGGCGAGACCTCCGACTGCCTATCTGGGCTCACCTGTTCTAGAACCCTTTTCCTCTCCATTCACAGGGCAAGCTTTCCCTTCAGGAAGGACCAAGTAGGGGTTACTAATCGGCTGCCTTTACATTTTGAAATGCAGAGTTAAGTCCTGTCCTTCCCCATTCACCATGGCACAGGGTAAAAATTCTGAACTCTTGTCCAATGTGGACAGCATGTTACCCTATACCAATAGCAAAAGGACAAACATTTATCTCTACCCAATGCTGATTTAGACTTGGGATAGCATTCATGACTGGGGCTAATGCATCTGTATAAAATGAACAAAACTTGGAACATCAGCATGAAGACCAGTGTGATACACTTTACAGGTGAACATGCAATCTGCTCTTGTGGCAAGGAAGCCCCCCACAAGTCCGTCTGAATCTAATGATCCAGGGGACACCCACACAACCACACACGAGAGCCAGATGCCCACTGGAAAAGCTGGAGGGAGCATGGTTGCTTGAAGGACGATGCCAATCTGGACCCAGAAATACAGAACGGTCTTGAAAAACGAACAGTCTTATCCCCTGGGGAAATGCGTCCTCTGCAGTCCTCAGGGCTGCTGGGAAAATGAGCAATTCTCCCATGAACAATCTCTCCAAAATGGGAGAAGAGGCCACGTGTGTTACATTTTCTAGCTTGGACTACTTCTTCCTTGTTCTTTTTGCTCATGCAAATGTCTGAATATTCAAAACCCCAAGCAAATGTCACCCCTACCCCCCAAGTAGCTCACAGTAAGAACGACTCTTCCTTCTTGGCTCTAGACATACAGCGCCTATTAGTTCAGACTCGCTTCGTTCATCAATCTTCCCACAAGATGGCCAGCTAGCCAAGAAAAAAGAACACTCCTAGCCCATCTCCTCCCACACCCTACCACCTCCCACAGTGCCTTGTACGGGGCACAGGCTTCAGGGCTGCAAAACATCAGCCTCATTACTAGATTCACACTACCTACACAGGAACTGTCATCGGGGACAAGGACAGGTAGGATGTCTCAGTTTGCTGAGCCCAGATGTTTGGCCAGGTTGGAATGGAAGGACTTTGGGAAAACCTAGTGAATCAGAGGCTCAGTGTGATTCAGCGGAAAGGACAGTGGTTGCTCCCACAAAGTCCTCTGGACCAGCTCTACTTCAGTTGCCATGGAGTGGGTGTATGTGGGTGGTCTAAAGGTAGGGATCAGACAAGCTTGTACCCTCAGAAGTGTTTCCCCCTCTTCTCCTATGGAGTCTTCCAGAAGTCGTGAAGCCTCTGGTGTTCAGACCCAGTGATGCCTTTGGCTTGGTCCACATGGCTCTGCAGCAGCTGTATCTATGGCCTGGCCTGCTGAGCCGGACACCCCAGCTCCAGGAACTTCCGGCTGAACTCAGCTTGCTGTGTATCCTCTCGTGTGTGCACACCTTCCTGGGCTACTCCAGACGGGCCTTCGCAATCCATTAGTTCCTTGTTTCCCCTTGCACAGTGTACTTATAGAAAGTGTGAGCGTCTCTGGAAGGGTGTCCAAGAAGTAGGTGTGCCTCCAGAATTAATGAACATCTGCTCAGTAAAACTTTTAGACCTGTCATTTTGTCTATGGCAGGAGGACTACCAGAGAAGAGTACACATGTCTATTACTCTTAATTTAAAAAAGAGCAAGATAGGAGTCATGGTCAAAAGTAGGCCCTGAGGAGCCTTAAGAAAAACATGAAATTATAGAAGTTTTTATGTTCTCAAGGAAGAGACATTGTCTGGAGTCTAAATTTTAAAAAGTAATAAAATACTTTAATTCACAGCTCTCTTTTAAACAAAGGTATTTCCCCTCTGCTCTGAAGTCTTTGCAGTGAGTAACACTGTTTTCAGTCTGTCCAATTTATTTGAGTATAGTGGTATATCAGCCCTCTTGGGCTAATAAAAACCTTATACAAAATATAAAGACCATCCATATTTAAAAATCAGGAAAAATATGGCCAGATTATTGAGGAAGGGGAAATGTTGGAAATGAAGAAACTAAAGTCCTTATTAAAGTTCTAATTTTGCAAGGTATTCTTAAAAAAAAAAAAAACATTTAATTGATGTTTGTGAATTGAATTAAGTCCAAATAAAATAAAACTATATTTGTGTGTGATTGAATCAGGGTCTCACTCTCTTGCCCAGGTTAGAATGCAATGACATGATTATGGTTCACTGCAGCCTCAACCTCCTGGGCTCAGGTGATCCTTCCACCTCAGTCTCCTGAGTGGCTGCCGGACTACAGGTGAGCACCACCAAGTTAGGCTAATTACTTTTTGTTGAAATGAGGTCTTGTTACGTTGCTCAGTCTGGTCTCAAACTTCTGGGCTCAACCAATTCCCCTGCCTGGCTTCCCAAAGCACATGCCACCACACCTGGCTAAATACAACCATATTCTGAACAATTTCCACCAACTACTTTTTTTGGGGGAAAAAAAATCAACTTCAATGGCTTTATTTTTTAAATGTCCACAAAAAACAAAACAAAAAGCTATTAAACACAAAGATAATGCATGTACAACTGTTTCTAAAGAATATGTGATATGTCTAAGAGCACAAAAATAAATCATGACTGAACACAATCATACTTAGAAAACCTAAGATATCATTTTCACAATTAAAATACAGGTGGTTGAGTGATGAACCTACTTTTAAAGAGCTTGAACTCCCCTTTGTGCTGTAACAGGATGATCAACAGTAACCACAGCTTACGCGGTCTGGATCCAAGTTCTTTTTCACCTGTCTTAGGTGTAAACTCCTAGCAATGTGGGATGGCCGCGAGGCCATTCATCGTGAGCCTTCCATTAGTGAGCCATGTCCTCTCAAGCAGGGCCTTCTAGTCATCAGCACAGAGCTCTGGGCCATCACATCCCACGCTGACCCTCTGGCAGAGGAAGACCCTAATCAAGCCAGCTCTTCCAGATCCCAACAAGAATTGTCCCCTGTGCAGAGAGGATCTCAGCCTGGAATGCACACCAGAGCCATCACAATTCCTCCCTCAAACCCCCACAGATGCCAGAGTTCAAGCCAACCGTTAGAAACCAAAACTATGAGAGGGAGGCAGGTCTGGGTACTTTTTTAACCTTTTGCACTTGGATCATAAATCTAGCAAACAACTTGGATGTCCCTTCTCAGGAGACTGCTGGTGATTATACAAGACAAACTTATGCAAGCGCACGTTTTCCAAAAATGCATGTTTCCTTGAAGTTTTCCATTCAAATTGCATGAAATAGCAAATAAAGAGATGGGATATATACTGAGATACATGTTAAAAATATCAGCTGGCATCATGTTGAAAGAGAATGTATAAGCTGGGCTCGGTGGCTCAGCCTGTAATCCTGCGCCTTTGGGAGGCTGAGTTGAGTGGATTGCCTGAGCCCGCGGGTTCGAGACCCGCCTGGGCAGGCGAGACATCATCTCTACAATAAATAAAAAAAAAAATTAGCCAGGCATGGTAGTGTGTGCCTGTAGTTTCAGCTACTTGGAAGGCTGAGGCAGAAGGATCGCCGGAGCCCAACAGGTCGAGGCTGCAGTGGCTGGGAGCGGCCACTGCACTCCAGTGTGGGTGACAGTGAGACTCTAACTCAAAAAAAAAAATAAATAAAATAAAATAAATAAATAAATAAAAATAAAAAAGAGAATGTATAAAGTGGCTTCACAGTGTTGCCAACACTTCTTTATGACAGAAGGTAGAAACACAGCTGTGGGGATATACTTTGGATCATATGGTATAACTTGAAAAGTTAGATAAGCAAGTTACTGTAGCCTTAAAAAAAAAAAAAAAGATTTTCAAAGTTGAAGGCAGGTTGTATAGAAGTACCCAGAGGCACAGATCGAACTTAGTCTATCTACACTAAGTTGGAAAAGTAAAATTGGAAAAGTAATTTTCTTTTGCTAAGTTTCATTCTGTGATTTCATAATTTACAATTAAGCATTTTTTAATCCATTTATTTAGTTTGCAGAGCAATGGCAAAATGAAAGGACAAAAGTGAGAGTTATAATATCAGCAGCAATAAAGACGAGTTAGGTTTAGACTCATCTTCATGGTTTTCAGAAATCACAAATGTACCCTTCCACATTGTCTTCGAAAACAGACTGAATAACAAATTACAATTAATATGGAAGGACGGAAACAAGACTGCATTATCTGGCTCCAATAGAAAAACACCAGGTGGAAGACATCAAACAAGTAACAACTGCACAACATGTATCAATGATCCTGCAATGAATGTCAGTGACTGGTTCACATGTTAAGAAAAATATAAAGTTTTGATTTTTTGGTCATAAATAAATTCCTCCATGTCCAAAATTCCATCATAAGCCAAATATTACAATAAAATAACTGATTCCAATGCTATACTATCTACTATGAAGTGATTTGCTTTTCATTATTCTATAAAAAAGTATGGCTGAGTTGCTTGGAGGTGATCCGCAAGATGGCTCTGAGTGCAAAGGGCTAAAAGTTCCACACAGAACTCCTGCTTTAGAAACTCCTAATTTTAACATATAATGTTCAGAATAGAGAAAAGAAAAAGCAGCAGCCCAAAACTAACTCTCATATGTGTGAAGCAGATTTGTAGTTTTATTCAGTGATGTTGAAACTAAAATGCCAATAAATAAGAAGTAAAAAGAATAGCAAACAGAAGTAGCTTACACAGTGTTTATTTTACACTGAACTGGAGAGCTTCTGTACAATAGAAAGCACAGTGAGTGCCTGGCTCTAGGCAGGAGGCTAAGAGCAAGAACCAGAGTCAGCTGGAGAACAGGCTGATGCAGCTCAGAGAGGTAGGCCGTCCAGCTCGAGGAAGGAGTCTTGGGAGAAGTGAAGCAAAGAAACTTATCTGCGTGAAGATAAAAGGTGGGAGAAAAAGAAAACAGTGGCACAATGGAAAAAAGAAAACCAAATGAACAGACAAGAGCAGCACATGAAACAAGACAGGGAGCAGTCATGCAAAACCTTGTACCAGCTGCTGCACCCTTGGGTTGACACCCATCCTCACTGACTCTGCACCTGAGGCTGCCGTGGGCCCCCCTGGGCAAGGGTCCATTTTAAGAAGACCCGGAAACAGAATTTAAACACAAACTACAAACTAAACCCACGTTTCAGAATACCTAACCAAACTTGATGCTAAAAGTTCTTCCCACAGAATCACATGTGAGTACTGGAAAAGACCTTAAAGACGGGTGATCTGATCCACCCTCTCATTTACAAGTGAGGGAAAAAAGAAGCCAGAATGCTCTCTGGTTTCCATGGTAACATGCACGTCACTAAGGGCTTTTCTGTTGAGTGTGATTCTGTGATCTGCAGGGCAGCAGGCACATGTCCCCCTCTTCAAGCTACCATTTTTTTCTGCATGGGTAAGTAAATGACACGTGGGCCTGGAAAATGACATTTCCAGCTTCAACCGGAATTCAGTATGATGTTAGCATGAAGAACTAACTCTGTGAAACACTCCAGGTTAGAAATTTAAAGAGGCAGAAGCAGCTTAATGCTTGCATTTGGTTAGTACCATGTGAATTAGTCATATTTGCTCAAGGTTCTCCTCATGAAAACAAGACACCCTGCTCCAGTTCCTACTGCCTTATGGGAAAATCTGGACCACTAACTCCCAAGCTCACACTGTACGATCTGGGCTTTATTTCCCACTTCTTTGACACAGGTTGTGATGAATGTTTACTGTGGGTACTTTAATTCCCTTCATACAGACAGAAAATGAAAGGCTTGGTTACTCAGCAGAGGGTTTACTCTAGAATTCTTAAACGTGAACAAGAGATGATCTTTTGTGGCACCATTCTTGAGGCTGTATTAGATTATGCTATTTCCTTTTCCTCAGACCCAACAACCTAACCCGCCAGGGTTTCCTTCCGTTTAAATTTCTCTTATGAAAGGAATCACACTGTACTTCACCGAATCTCAGGAAACCGATTTTTGCTATTTCTTGAGAGGTTCTGCTCAACTGCATGGCCTGCTAGTTTTACTTGAGTCTAGTTTAATCTCTCAAAAGGATAGCCCTCAAGGTCATTCATATTCCAGTTCACTGCTTGGCGGGAACAGTCTAGTTCAGGGTTTACAAAATAAAAGGACTGTGAGAGAGTGATTTATATAGACAGACTTAACCTACTTGGCCTTTGTATTAGTAGAAAGTGAAAAACAACGGCTAATCCAGGTTATGCGAGAGCGTGCGCAGAGGGTACAAAGGTGGAGATGAAGGCGTAAGGAAGGAGCATGGCGAGTTTATCACGCGAGCACCAGGGCGCGGGTATGAGCAGGCAGGGTGGATGACATTTACATGGAAGTCATGTCGTTGAGAGCGTGGTCCAGCTCCTCGCTGATGGCCTTGTACTTCAGTTTCTGAGCGTACAGCTCGTCTATGACCAGGAAGTGTGAGGCAGAGGTGCAAGGGCATGGAGAGTGACCAAGAGATGGAGGGTGAGTGGGGTGGCGCGGGCGCCATCCCGACACAGCAGCGAGAAAGGGCAGTGCATGAGGGGTTGTGCCGCGGCAGGTGGCCAATGCAGGAGGCGTGCGTTTGGTTTTTAAATAAATCGAAACAAAAACAAAGAGAACAAAACCCATTAGAAAATAAAACAGAAAGACTCAATGTGAACATAATAACAAATATGGTAGGTATATCAGCAGGCCGCATTAAATCCTAATAAAACCACAGACAGCTGCCTCCTGGGCGGGTAATGAAACATCTTTCTTTTGCAGAGTTGTATTTTTACACAGAAGCACTCAGCCACCTGCAGCTACAAACAATGGAAAAAATATCCAAGGGCAGAGTTTTGGAAGAGCAATTTACAACTATACCCGTAAGCCTTATCTGGCTCCACCTTCAAACCATGGACTTCCTGACCACACTAGGCCACCGGGATATCAAGTTTTAGTGTCATTTAAACGACTCCTGTGGTCTTCCCACACAAGCTGCCTCTTACTGGTCCAGGAGGCTTGAAAAGTAAAAAGAGCCACACTTTCTATGGTGATGTTGTGGCAACTCTGCAAGTGGATTTTCTAACAATGAAGGCTTCACACTTTGCTCCACTTGGGCAGGCTATTTGATGACGATTTGTCACTCTCTCTTCCCCACTATCCTGGTGAATGCACCAAACTTCAGTCCTTCTCTAGCCCTTCTGCCTGAGATGTGTGTGTGTGTGTGTGTGTGTGTGTGTGTGTGTGTGTGTTTGTTTCTCCTTTTTCACAGCAAACCCTCCGCAAGCCTCAGAGATCAACATTTAAGTTTACTGTGAGACAGAGTGGGTATTACTGAAATAAAACCTAAATCCCTTAAGGGAGAAATGCTTAAGTGTAATCTCGTAACACAATGCCCTACTGATTTTCCCCTCCTCTTTCAGGACACAGAATATTTTGCTAAGATAATGAACGACTTAAAAAAAATCCAAATCCTTACACTGAATTAATACGCGGAAGAAGACAAGTTGTGTCTAAAAACAAATCCACATCATTCCTAAGATAATCAGGAAGGGTCACTAGAGATACAAAATCATCCTAGAGTCACTCTCACCTGCAAGCACCCCACGCACAATGAAAACCAAGCCTGCCACACTCCTGCTGATTGTGAGATCAAGCTGGGGGGCATTTGCTGGCTCGGCTGGTAGCTGACAGTCACCCCATAAGCAGTAGACACAGGTCCAAGAGTTTAGGAGCCACAGACAGAAACCCCAGAGGACAGACAGAAGGATGTGCAAGAGCAAAGAAGTGTATCAAGGCAGATGCCTGAGGACTGGAAAATAATTTTGCTAGGTCAGCATTCAACCCTAAGAATTAAATAAAAAGTGACACTTAAAAGCTTACCTTCTAAGTCATCAATGCTTTTCTCCAATTTAGTTACTGACCTCTCAGCAAACTCAGCCCGAGTCTCAGCCTGTAACGATTTAAGTTATTTGAGTCAAAGTTGGGAAGTTTTTATGTTTGCTGCAGCTCCAAGTACAGGAAAAACAAGAGGATGGACACAATGCGCATCACCTGTCAAGTGGGTCTGAAACCACCTGTGGGTTTCAGCGCTACCACAAGAGACGGCAGCTAGCATGGCACCAAGACTCCAAGACCGCCTTTGAATATTCCTGACTTGCCGCATCATAGCTTTAAAATGAAAGCTGTGACCAGCTCCATGAAAACAAACTCAACTCTAAGTCAGCTGACTCCCCCCAGAACTCTCACAACATTACCTCCTTCAGCTTGTCCGAGAGGACCTTGATCTCCTCCTCATACTTGTCCTCCTTCTGCGAGTACTGCAATTAGAAAGAGCATCCAGATGTCAGGCTGCAGCTTGCGCGCCTTGTGCTTCCTGATGCAAAGAACCTGCCAGCCCAGCAACAGATGTTAAGGATCTCTCGGGAGGTAACGGAACCTCCAATATCGAATGGCAAACTACAATATGTGTTCTGCTTCCTTGCCTATTGGTTTACATGGGGTAAGAACGAGATAAAATGTATCCGTTTGGCACTTGGTTTAAATTAAATCGATGACTTGGGTATCTGACATAAAATAAACACGCTAGTTAAAAGTAAAAAGGCCTGCTGTCCGATAACCGTCCGGAACCACCTCGAAATACTGCCACTTGTAAACGTCTACCGTCCGGCTGCTTTCGTCAGCAGGGCCTCTCCCAAGCAGCCCCGAAAAGATGCCTTTTCCCACACCCCATGCTCCTGGCCTACCTTCTCAGCCTGAGCCTCCAGTGACTTCAGGTTGTTCGTCACAGTTTTCAGTTCTTCTTCAAGCTCGGCACATTTGCTATTGTTTTCGATCAGAGGCAGAAAGGGTGCGAGACAAGCCAAAGAGGAGCAGAGAAAAAGGAGAGGGAGGGGAAAAATGAAAACCAAGTCCTAGAGTCGAAGGGCTGCCTTAAAGGAGCCAGATCACCAGGTAGTAAAGTGCTCACTTCGGCCAGGGACACTGTCCCCAACCTCGCACAGCAGACAAAATCCAACAACTGTGAAGTGTGATCATTTGGCTTCTTTCGTGGCTGCCCGAAGAGCATTCATGAAGGGAAAACAAGGAGCATAAAGGACCGAGGGAAAGCATTTAAGCAAGATCTAAATAGCAGAGGGTGTAGTGAAGGTGCAGTCGTTACACCAGACAGACCAGTAGGCACTGGCAGCTGAAGACGCCTGAGTGGCAGTTAAACCTGAAAACCACACACGAGCCATCAGTACCTTATCCTCGGCAGCCATTAATGCTTTCAAGGTCTGATCCATTATTCTTAATTGTTCTTCCAGCTGTCGAACTTGGCTGTTAGTGGACACAGGAAATGCACAAGGCCATTCACAAAATCAGTGTGCAGGTAAGGCATGCAGTGACACACGCATTCACACATAGACACCCCACACGAGTCCTCCGTGCTCCAGACTCGCGGCTCATCCCCATCAGATGAGCACAAAAGGAGCCCGGAGCTGAAACAGGTGAATGTGCAGCTGCCAGAAGGTCATGCTGTTTAGTCACTGCTCTGCAGCTCCCCATCGTGGCCTCTGGGTGCCGGGCCTGCTTACCCTTCTGAGAGCTCAGCCCGCTCCTCTGCACGTTCCAGGTCACTCTCAATGATGACCAGTTTACGGGCCACCTGCAGTGGGAAAGCACAATACACATACACCATGGGGTTGGCAACCTTTGCGTAGGAGGGTGTGGGGGTAGGAATCAGATCCTATCACTCCCTAAGGGTGCTGGTCTACAAACAAGATGGTCCTTTCTGGTAGACTGGAGAGAAGCAAATCTCAATTAGGAGCGCCAAGGAAGGATGCCTGAGGCTTCTGTTCGCAAAGGCCCCAGAGGGTTAGTCAGGATCGAACAGTCTCAGTTGGAAGCCTGACCCGGGCAAAGTCTGTATGGCAGCCAGACCAAAACAGGGAGGGAGGAAGAAATACACAAGTCACAACCTCAAAAAGAGCAGGAGGAGACACGATGCATTTCTTCTGGAAAGGTGGGGGGTCCAGGAAAAACACTGAAGAATTAAGACTCCACTGATTGAGAGCTCTGTCCAGCAACCTCCTTTTTGTGGAGGAAGATGTGAGAGATGCTAAGGCGAGACGAGCGGGTGATGATTGACGGTCAAATGTGCCCTCTGTGGAAGACCCTGAGTGGAGAGGGAGCCTCTGGGGCAGCTCGCAACGCGTGAGCATGGTGTAATGGGAAGGTGATGATAATGACACTAAAAAAGGACAGCCAATGCCTTTTCAGGACAGCCACGGTGATACAGTCAGGAAAATACTGAAGCTCAACAGACATGTTGGCTCTGTCAGCATGGGAGGCTGTTTTCATCTCCTGCGAGAAGGCACCATATATCCCACGCCCACTGCAAGGCCCGTGGCCCCAGAGCTGCCTGGGCTGGATGTGCTGAGTGAGACACACCACGGGAGCTCCTTCCAAAAGACACAGGGGCCCAACGTTCCCCTCTCCCGGCCACAGGCCTTTCCTGCCCTGGTCTCTGGGGGTGGGGGAGAAGAGTTGTGGTCCTTCTTCCCGGGGCCATTGATTGGCTTCATGACTCTGAAGACCAGGGGACGCTGCTTCTCAAAACCACTCATTTTTGCCAAGGAAGCAGACTGCTCCACTCAGGAACTAAGGCTGTTCCCTGGCCTCCCGAAGGCCACTGCTGGGAGTCCCCGACTCTGGGCCCCAGGATCTGACCTCTTCATACTTGCGGTCGGCATCTTCAGCAATGTGCTTGGCCTCTTTCAGCTGGATCTCCTGAATTTCCATTTTTTCTTCATCCTTTTGGGCTCGACTTTCAATGACTTTCATGCCTCTGACAGGAAGACAAGCAGGAAAACCCAAGATTTAGAGCTGACCTCCCGAAATGCACACTGCACTGCTGTGGTCTGTGAGGCAAGTCTAAATGGCAGACCAAAATAGAGCACGGAGCTACTTTTATTTTCCAAACCATGAAGCAGGACTTTCCAGAGCTAAAGGAAGAAACACACACATACATTTCTCCCTGTTCATTGTGGATGAACTCTCTCACTTTGGGTACTGGTGAAATTGTCCAGGCATCCAATGTTAAATGGACGGTACTGTGTCAGGGTCCAGCATAAATTTGGGAGGCATGGAATCAGGAAAACCCAATGTACTTTACTTATCAAATATAGAAAGAGATGTCCTCCCTTTTCTGTGGGAAGCCCCAGCTTACAAATGGACCAAAACTCAAACAAAAGCAAATTTACCCTCATGTGCCTCTTTCTTCCTCACCAACCACAAATGAAAAGATTAGACTGGCCCATATAAAAATGGCAGTTCCATATGGTTGAACTGAACACTTTAGATAAGTTTTGACTGAAGTGGAACCTGGTCGTGACAGGGGTGCTGAGAGGCCCGACACCGGCTTCTATGCTGATGAGTGTATCAGGGTCCTGTTGGGTGTTACGAAGTTTCAGAAAGTGTTAACGGACCAATGGCATTTAATGGATGTATGGAATACAATTTATGTTAAAATGGAATTCATTTGCCAAAATTTAAATGGGGAGTAAGATAAAAACCACTATTTTTTGATGAAGCACTGGAGCATACTTGAGGAGACCTGAGTGTCTGGGCTCAGCTGCAAATACACTGTGAGCCTTTGGGTAGGACACGTCAGTCTCTCAGCCCTAGTTTTCTCATCTGTAAAACCAAAGGATGCAATAAATGATCTCTAAGTTCCTTGAGCTCAAACTCCAACATGAACAGACTGCCTATAAGGTTCTCTAACAAGCATATTTCAGAAAGAAGTCAACCACAAAACCACTGTTATGTGTACATTGTAAAAGATGATTATTCATCTTAAAAAATTCTAAAATGTTTGGTTAGTGAAGAAACACTGGTGAACAACGGCCTGAAAACTTAGCTAAAAAGCCTTACTCCTGATGTCTCAAATCACTCTTTTGACACCTGGTGGCAGGAACCCTTCAAAGATGAAGAAATGACCAAGAGGACTGACTGCGTTCACCTGCCCAGGGCACAGTGCAGACGTGTAAGCATTCAATGTTATATTACCCCTCAAGCAGTAGAGCACTCTCTCACCTCATGGAATCTTCTAAGAGTGCTTCTATGCAGTACAGCAAATCCATCAACTTAACCAGCTGAGCGTAAGAGAAGATGCCTTCCAGAACACATAAAGGGAACCATGTTTCTCCTTTATGACCACAAAACTGATCCTTGGAGTAGAAAGTCAGGCAGAGCCAGGTCACAGCAGAGGTGGGCTCAGAATACTCGCCTCTGGCTGTTCCTGTGTGTGTGGGTCACAGGTGGGTTGTTATGACCAAATCCCAAACAACTTACTTTTGCAGATTACAGTTCTGTTTTATCTGTACTTTTTCTTCCATCTGTTTGACAACTGACAGCCCACAGTTCCTGTAGCTAGGCCTAAACTTTCTTAGTATGTTTTAAAACACAGTTACATATTTTCAAAAAAAAGCACAATTGCTCTGTGGCCAGCAAGAATGAAAAGAACCAGTATGTATCTCTGAAATATCTCACTTATACGTCTGATTCCCTTGCTGGCTGGTGAGCTCTGTAAGGGTAGGA